AGAAAGTGGAATTGCTGTCTTACGCAGATTGATTCAAAACCCACAAATACATCGCTATGGCTGTAGCAGAGTTTCCTGATCCGTGCCAATGTAGCAAAGGCCGTGGGGTTTTTTTTGAAAATAAGACGCTGCTGAAATCAGTTTAGTTCACTGTACCATCATTATTGCTGTAGCTTTGGGTGATTTTGCTTTATATCTGTGAAGTATACCGGGGAAAAATCCTGCTTGCGCTGCAGTGGGTTAAGCAGAAACCTTCGTCTGAAGCACAGCGCAGCAACCAGAAGGATCCTCTGCCCTCACCGCCGCGGGGTCTGCCGGCCGCGCGCCCCCTGGGATGCTGCTGGCCCCAGCAGGGTGGAGAGCACCCTCGTCCCCACCTCGCCTCTCCCACTGCCCCAACTGCCGTGGTAGGAACCCGTGAGGGACGTCTGGGGACTGGCCGCCAGACCTGGCTGCCCCCAGCTCGCCCTCTCCCCACGGCCGCATCCGTAAACTTCAAGGGTCGGAAACCTCGATGCTAGACTTTAAACGCATTTCACGTTAAAGAGTGCACAAGATGTCACCAACCCTGCGTGGAGTTTAAATTTCAAATACAATTCTGAAGTTGGAGTAATACGGTTGAAACTCCTTTTTTTTTTTTTTTTTAATGTGATTTGAATTTATCAGCCACAATGATATAGATGTCAAATAAATGTTTTTCAGATTGGAAACATTTGTCCATATTAGCAGAATTCTTCGTGTCAGTAATCTGGCAAAGAAACTTCATAACTTTTTGCTTGGGGAAATATTTATCTTTTATTTCACTTAGAATCATTTTTGCATCATATTAACCTGAAAAGTAATTTGTAGAGGAAAAATGCAAAATCGGATGCAAGTAGAGAGTGTGTTCAGCTATTACCTGCATATCTGTTGTTGTCAGCTCGCTCGCATTTTTTTTCATTAGTTTCTTGTTATAGTCAAGATATGGTCAATGATCTTTTGAGCTTGGTAATTTTGTTAAATCTTTTTTATTAGGAGTATTGAATTGCTACATTGAGATGGTGGCTGGCTTCTGTGCAAGATTGATTGGGACTGGTATTTCATTTTGCATAGCACTATTCAAAGCTAATAAAAAGGCCCGGAATAATGAAATTTTAAGTAAAATTATAATGAAAAGCCACAGGTGATTTTTTCATTAAACTGAATGCTGGAGAATTGTGCTCTTCACTTTTTCTGTTGGTTGTATTGGTTGCCCCAGGTGAAGTAAACATCTTCAAAATGTGTTTGGTGTTTTTGATAAATGTTTTCTTCTGGAAAGACTTCAATAATTAAAAAGACATGCACTTTTAAAAGATCACTAAAGCGTAGAACTATTACTTAAAAACACTCTTTGTTCAAAGTTGTTGCCTTGACTCATATTCATCGTAAGAAATTTCCTTCAGCGCAGTGAACAAACCCACCTTTTTCTAGGCAGGTTTCAGTGATTCCCAGGAGAAAGGTTTTTGAGCTTGAGAACTCCCGGGGTGGCTGTGCCACGTTGGCAGGCAAAAATGTTTGTATATTCGGAGTGTGATGGTCCCGATGTGGTACACTGGTGACACACGAATGACGTAGCTGGGAGTAGAAAGGCACGGGTGTCTCGGCTGTGTGTCTGTCTGCGTGTACATGTAGGCTGTGCAGCACTGCTCAGAGGCACGGCAGTCTGGTGGAGGGCACGTTGGCCACAGGCCCGCGATGGCCAGCCCGATCTTTAAGTAAAATTGTGGTGTCTGTTGCATGACTGTTTGCTGTCTCATTCTGTATTTGTCTTCCATGTGTGATTAACTCCCAAATGTTCTCTTTTTTTTTTCCTTTTCCCTTTTTGTAGAAATTATTGAGCCTACTACCTCTAGTCCTGTCTCAAGCCCAGGTCAGTATCCACATACATTCACGAAGTATGTTTGGGTACTTTTTCTCAGGGACTCATAACCGACGCATTGCCATATCGATAACTGGAATTGATCACGGGCAGCTTTGTCGTGGTAGTGCTGGACTGTCTCCTTCCCGTCTTTGTGCTTTCATTGGTTCGTCTTCCCTCCAGGCTTCATATGTTTTTCCTCTTCTTAAACTTCCCCTTTTGAGACAACCCCTCCCCGCATCTCTGTTTCTCTGCCATTCATTCTCTGCCCCAGGGCGATGCAGTGGATGTACACAGGGAACGCAGCTGCGCGCGCGGTGTAATTGCTGTGTTTTCTCTTCATCATGACCTGACCCTTCTCTGGTGTCGCTGTCAATGTGAACGGTGAGGCTTACAAATTTCTTGCTGTCTCATCACTGGGAGACCCATAGGATGGATCTAAGACCCCGTTGCGAGGTCCTCCTCGCTCATTTTAAGGCACCAGAAGGTCTTCCTGGGGAGCTGAAAAGCCCGCCCTTCTGCTTGGCGGGTGGTGAGAGGTCTTGACCGCTGGTGGTGACTCCCTGTTACTCGGGGGTTGCCCGTTGCTGCTCCCCAGCAGGACACCCTCAGTGGAGCTGGTCCACCCGGCGCAGGCTACCGAACAGGGGCTGCCCTGCCCAGAGCTTCTCAGGGGGTGGCACTGGGTGAGCCCGTATCAATACACCCAACCTCTCTGCAAAGAGGTTTGGAAGGGGTAAGTCATGACTCTCCCGTACCCTGCTCCACCTCCCGTTGCTTTACCTTAAACCCCTTCCCCGGGTGCAGTTACGGTGTCCGACCCAACGGGTCGGTGTTATCTCCACGTGCACCATGTGAGAAGATGCGCAGCGGTCAGGTCCCCTCCAAGGAGGCGTCTGGGATGCCTCACCAGGAGCGTCTGGGAGGCAAAGACAAGTAGAATTTTCCTCTAGCAAAACCTGGGTGATGTATGCTTTTATTTCCAAATTAAGATAAAAAGATTAGAAAGATTACCCCAGAAAGCCGTAGCGATGGAGGTAATCTGCTCCCCAGTTAAAATGCAGATTAAACAGAGAGTTACAAAAGAAAAGCTCGGCAGCAGATTGATCCACCCGCCTTAAAACTTACAGGAGCAGAAAGACAAGTGTATAAACCTTCGGTGCTTTTAATTAAAGGGCTTAGGAAGGGCAATCTCTGGTGTCCTCTGCGGAGACGCTCGCTGTCTGCCCGCCCGCCTGCCCGTCCTCAGCAGCGAGCTTTCCCAAGCGCTCCGTCTGTCTCTGTTACGTGCGGAGGATCTGCCGTGTCTGCGCTGCAAAGCCCTTCAGGAAAGCGCCGGAGCCATTTCCGCACGACCACCGCTCATCGCACAGCGCAGCGGCGGGAGAGGGAGGGGAGGGGTGGACGTAACCTGCAAAAAGCTGATAGAGTTTGTAATAAAAGCTCCTCTTCCTGTGATTTTTCACAGTTGCTTTGGACTACCAAGCAGTTGGAAATAAGCTAAGACATTATTTTCATAGCTAACGGAAGCCGGGAAGAAGAAGAGAGTCGCGGATGATACAGCAGTTGTGCAAAGTAGCGATAGGAGAACCTCAGTCTATGTGTCGTTTAACGCTGGGTTTTGTAACGGGTTGAAAAGTGCCCTTAGCCCGACGCTGTTCCAAGCTCTGTTCAAGGAGCGATGGTTTGTGCTGTGTGGTTACGGTTGGAACGGGCTCTGGTAACATTTGGGTTTTAATCTCCATAGGTAAGCACTACAACACAGCAGTCTTTTCTCACTTTAAAAACTTTATGTTCAAGCAATACAGCTTCGAGATGTATTTGAATTCTTGCTGTCTGCAGAAATGTACCACAAATGAGCAAAATTATATGTATTTTGGGGGGAGCAGGATGGAGATGGTGGAATAGAAATGAACAGCCTCCTTTTATAACAATCCCTGCCTTAATTCCGAGAGCATGATGGTAAATAGAGAGGTCTTTTTCCAAAGTACAGTATGAAATTGAGAATATGAAAGCCTTTGAACACAGCAGAGGAAAGCTTTAGAAGAAACTAAAGTTGCAATAGGTGAAGCTACATGAGCTAATCCAACTTTAAATGACTGAGGAAAGGACTCTGAGGTCATTTTGCAGATGAAAAACAACATCTGGTCCCCTGAAAAACAACAGTAAGGGTTTTTTTTTTAAAAAAGGACAACCTCTCAAAATGGATAAAAATTTCGGATTGAGTCCTTCCTCCTGGAAATCAGCACTGCTGTCAGCAGCGGCACTGCCACTGAAACGTTCTGTTTGCCTTACGTAATTAAATAACGCTGTGATAGTCCCTCTCCTTTTCTAATTTTAGTCTGGTAAATAGCTAGATAATACCATCACTATTGCTACGAAGTTATACAGCCGCAGAGGCAATTAAAAAGTTTCCGGAGTGTCAGAAAGCGAGTCCCTCCTGTGCTGCGGCATCAGCGGAGGAGACGGTAGCTTTGGCCGGGAGATCGGGGCAGAAAACCCGCGATATTCGGCTGCAGCTGCTTGTGACAGTACAACAGGGCTTGTGACTTTGTTTAGGGTCAGCCCAGGGGTTTCAGCCAGCAGTGCCCGTTGGACCTCTGTCCGTCTGCCCTGCTTTCCCTCAGGCAGTGACAGGAATACAAAACATGGATAAACCTGTAGAAACTCGGTTTTCCTCGTGTCTTGCATCACTCAGGATACGGAGCATCAGCCCGCTTCTTGCTTCGTCCAGGCTTTGCAGCTTGGCGACTAATTACTGCTGTCATTTGCAACTTCACTTCATTGCAGCTTCAACGGATGTTTTTCCTGGAGAAGGTTTTCTTGCTGGAAGGAGACAGATCCTTCTCCACTGTTTCGGTATTGAGCCAAAGGTTATGACAAAACCCCAAACTGAGTCAATATTTAACTGCAGATAGAGAGAGAATGGCAGGGCAGGGATCCCCCATAAGTCAAGGTACTCGATGATCTTAACGGTCTTTTCCAACCTATATGACTCTGTGATTCTATGGCATGACTGAAGGGGTGTCCAACATTCTCATCACTGGTAGAGTTTTCCAGGATCTTTCCCAAAGCCCAAACTGGGAAGTTACTTTTTGTAGAAAGTGAAGAATCTGTAGCACTCCTGAAGATCTTGAAACCACCTTCTGTTGAGATTTTAGTCCAACACTGAATACGCAGTAATTATCCTATTCTCAAAACATCTTTGAAAAATATTTTTCATTGTTATTAGTGGGCACGAGTATATACATATGTAGATATGTGTATGGAAGGAGTAGTGTAAAAGGAAAATGTCACTGGCATCTCAAGATGCTTAAACCTGGAGTTGCTGCTGCCTCTGACCCCTACGGGTCACTTTTGTGCAGACTCTGTCAGCATCGAAATTGGTACACAGAAAGACCTTTCACTCCCCAGTTTTCCTTCTCATATTCAGTATAACTGTTCTGACCTTCTATTGTTAAAAATTGTTTATAAGCTGCATGTGTAAAATCTCAGCACAGAAGTTTTGTGACATTTTCTAGATGTTCATAAGCCACATGGCAACATCCCCAAAATGTCTTTCAATGATTACCTGTAAGAAACATTTTGATTAAAAAAAAAAATCCTTAAGGATCCCTTACAGTTCCAAACAGGCAACAAACTGTTTAAAACATGTACAACTAATGCAAACCCAACGCTGTGTTTGAGAGCCATAGCGATGCACTCGTGCATTCCCCTCCTGGAGCCCCTTTTTACATTGGGGAGTTTACTTTCTCAATTTTAAGCTACAACGCTTAAAGCACGTAGAATTAGCTGCAAAAGTTAAAAAATTGGGGCCACAGTTGGTGTCTGTTTTGTCAGCTCATTGCCAGGAGCTGTAGTTACTTACAAATCTTTCATCCTTTAGCGTAATTAGTTCACAGGTGGTGTCTCGAAAAGCCTTTGAAGATGCTGCTGAATTCTTAATGCTGACTAAATAAGTAACAGTGACGGGTCGGAGAGAATAACTGAGGAATCTTCTTTAATTAATGATTTCACATGTTATAAGGCACTTTCATAAAAATTGGAGTTGGAGAGAGAAGGACTTTAACTTCTTTCCTTTTCTCAGGAACAAAAGCCTATGTTTAAATGAGCACTCTGGGCAGGTTGGACAACTCCTTGAACTTCAGTTACTTCTCCCTAACGTGCTTTACCACATATCTGGTACGTTTTAATATGCTAGAATACCAAATAATACCTAATCTCAAGCAGACTCTATTTGTTTCATATGAAACATGTCAACCTCCCTTCCTTCTCTTCTTATGCAGTTGCAATTCCCATTTTAATCAATAAATGATCTGCATAAGGAAACTCTACAGGCTTGGATTCTGAATCTCAGGATTTATGCCATTCTTTCTTCAATGAAAACACCATGTATATGAAACTAGGGTTTTTTGCACGTGGGCGGGAGACACATTGGTACAGCAAATACTGGAGTAGAGATGAACCCTGAGGCACAAAGGAACGATCAGCCTTGAGAAGCAGCCGGTCGTTCATCTTCACCAGCCAACACTCAAAATACTTTCTTTCGCTTCCCAGTTTGTGGAATTTCTTCCAAAAACTGAACAAGTGTGAAAAGATTATCAAGATCTAGGATAACAGGTCCTGTATCCTTGCAAGTTTACCTTCTAAAATACATTAGAAACAGGCGTCTCTTTGTTCAAAGAGCTTTTGAGTCTCAGTGGCCACTTTGCTGCCTCCCAAATAATCCCACCCGGGGAAGGAAGGCAGGGTCTCCCACACTGCCCTCCGGCTCCTTCATCATAGAATCACAGAATGGTTTGGGGTGGAAGGGACCTTGAAGCCCACCCAGTGCCACCCCCTGCCCTGGGCAGGGCCCCCACCCCCCAGCCCAGGTTGCTCCAAGCCCCGTCCAAGCTGGCCTTGAACACCTCCAGGGATGGGGCAGCCACAGCTTCTCAGGGCAATTTGTTCTAGTGTCTCACCACCATCAAAGTGAAAAATTTCTCCCTAATATCTCGTCTAAATCTCCC